TGTTATGAGCTATGAAGGCAGAAGCAGGATTGTCTACAAAGAAATTTCAAAATGACATATCACCATTACCCTGTGGCTTTGGCACCAGATACCCACTAAACGGTAGGCTAAAGGCTTGTCTATATAAGGCAAAGGAAGAATCAAAGCAAAAACAGGACCGGTGGTCCACTGTTGGAAATTCTTGAATTTCATGTTGTGTTTTTCTTACTAAAAATCCACAGGTTTGTTTTGAAGTAGTCTTGCTTTGTTTCTAAATGATGAGACCCAGAGTTTTAGGAGGTGCTGGTAATCACTTCTACCCAGATAGCACCCTGCGGGCGGAAGGGAGGGCCTTGATGCTGTTGGGCTCAGGCAGGTACCCTGCCTTCTCTCCAGAGCCAGGCGAGCTCTGCAGGCCGCAGGCGCTGTCTGAGAGCAGCGGCCAGATGGATGGGCCTCTCGGGTCCCGGGAGGACTCCCTGAGGCCAATGTGCAGGATTATTACCACTTACATGTTCCTCACGAAACAGCCTTTTAATATCGGTGATCTTTAATGCTTCCTGCCTTTAACCAACTGTCCATTATGGGTAAAAATTAAATATTCGACCAAGAATGGAAATAATTCAAAACTACCTAATGGTGTAAACCACCCGAGTGCTGGGAGGGCTGCGGAGCGATCCGCTGGCCCAGGGGCCGAGTCCCTGGTGGGCTCTGTCAGGTCCTGCTGCTCTCTGGGCGCCTTGGACAGGGTTCAGCCCCCGCTTGGCACGGGGTGAGGGCAGGCCTCTGGAGCCAGCTGGGCCTGGTTCAAACCACTTCCTCCATGCCTGCCCTCCCCTCCCGGGCTTTTAATGGTCCATGCCTCAGTTTCCCCATGAGTGACATGGGGGAATAACCATGATAAAGACAGTTGAAGGTTCCGAGGGCTGAATGAGCTGTCCCTTGGAGGTGCCTGAATCACAGCAGGGACTGGGGAGCAGCTCCCTCCACCGGGGGACACAGCTGTCACAAAATCAGAGCCCAGGCTGGGTGCTCTCACTCCCTGTGTGTAAACTGGGCGGCATGAGCCCAGAAGGGGTCTCCCCTGCCGTCCCCAGGGGTCCTGTGGCAGCCTCTGCCTCCTCCAGGTGACCTCAGGTCTGCTGCTCGGGGACATTCCCAGGGTCTGGATTCTGGGGAGAGCCCCGTGGGGAGTCTCAGGACTTGAGCATCAGCTCCTGGAACTGCCCAGGTCACCCCGCCCACGAGAGCGCCCAGGGGTCCCCAGCACCTTTTCCTGCTGCTGACAGCGGGTGTCCCCAGGCTGGGGCTGTGTCCCCACTCCTTCTGAAGGCAGGGACCCCACTGCGCCCTTGGGCTTGCTGCCTGCTCGCCTCAGTCAGGACCTGGCTCCGCTGGAGGTGGGTGCCTGGGTCCCTGCTGTGGGACCTGAGCCCCGGGGACAAGGAGGGCACTTCAGAGCCTAGGAGTCAGGCCTGGGGGTCCCGGGTCCCAGCAGCCCTCACTGGCTGTGTTCCTTGGAAAGAGCAGCGTGTCCCCGCTGTGCCGAGCGGTCCTGAGGGAACAGGGGGGTGAGGCGAGGACAGCCGACGGGGAGCCTCCTCTGCTGGGAGGTCAAGGCAGGCCTCTCACTGGGGACTGGTCAGGAGGGGAGGCTGATGAGGGAGGCTGGGGCTGGCACAGAGGGTCCACCTCTCCCTCAGCCCGTGTGGCCGGTGGTCCTTCAGATCCCCACAGAGGCAGCAACGGCACCAGAGGGAGAGGGGCCAAGGAACAGGGACGCTGCCGGGAGAGACAGGCCGCCGGCTCCAGTCCACCCTGTGGTCCCGGCTGTGTGTGCTGGGCTCACAGAGACACCGCCTGGGCCCCGGTTCCCTTTGTCATGATGATGATAACAACAAGAAATGACACCTGTGAGGTGTCACAGGACAATGATACCTGTGAGGTACTGTGTCCCAGGCCCTGTCCGAAGAACACAAACGGATCCAATCCTCTTTATAACTCTACGAGGTAGATGGCCACATCATTATCCTCATTTTATAGTTGATGAAACTCATACAGAGAGGTTAAGTAACTTGGCCCAAGCCACCCAGCCAGGAAGCAGGAAGCTGGGGGAGCCCATGCTCTTCACCACGATGCCGTATTCCTGCACCTGGAGGAGGGGTGGTGGCTAGGGAAGTGTTACAGACACAGCACAGGGACATCTCTACAACCAAAACTTTGTTTTGGTCCTAAGGAGTGCAATCCTTTTTATTTTTTATTTTAAGATGGGGTCTTGCTAAGTGGCTCAGAGCCTCACTAAACTGCTGAGGCTGGCTTTGCACTTGCAATCCTCCGGCCTCAGCCTCCTGAGTCACTGGGATTACAGGTGTGTCCCCCTGTACGTAGCCTGCCGGTAGTTTTTTAACGCTTGGGTTTTGACTGTTCCTGATTTCCACCAAGCTGACCCTGGGACAGGTCAGGAAGCAGTGGCTGCTTCTCTGAAAGCTCACACTTCTGCCCTCTCTCGGGACATGTAGAGACCAGGGGAGGGTGACAGTCAAGGCAGGCCAAGGGCGTGGACCAGAGGAGCCAGGGATGTTCTGACGGATGGTGGCCACCCCAGCAGACAGAGGTTGTGATAAACCGAGGAAGAACCAGTGTGACGTGAGGGGCGGAGCCTGCTAAGACCAGGCTGAGCCTAGCACCAGGGTGGGTTCTGGGAGGGAGGAAGGAAGGTCCAGCAGGGAAGGGCCAGGCGTGGTCAGAGGGGGAACAGGCTGGCTGGTGGAGACCCGGTGGATGGCCCGGCAGGTGGGGGCAGGGAGAGCGCCAGGTTGGGCCCGGTCTGGGAGTCGATGGAGGTGGAAGGGCAGGACCTCCATCTGGCCGAGGCTGTCCTCCCTGGGGGCAGACATGCGGAGCTGGGCTTCAGGCCCTGGCTGTGCCTCTGCCTCCTGTGTGATCACGGCAAGTTCTGTGACCTCTCCCTGCCTCCGTTCCCTGATCCATAAAGCGGGGATAGAACTGTACCTGACATGGGCTGATGTTGGCAGGGTCCTTCCAACACTCCTGCTCTCTAGGACCTTATTCAACGCAGTGGGCAGGCCTGGCAGACCCCAGCAGGAGGTAGCTGGGGCCCACCCTCACTCTACCCACACTTCCCCCTGCCCTGGGTGGAGGAATCCAGGAAGAATCACGTCTACTTTACAGGTGCTGGGGGTGGGTACAAGGAACAATTAATACTACCATGATGACGCTCAGAATTTCATGGATCCCAAAAAGTAGAAGAAGCCTTAGTGACAGGTGACCTACCATCCAGAGTGGACAGAGTGGACTTGCTTCAAATCTGGACTCCGATGCTGGAACTTTCTGCGTTGTCTAGCCAATTTATGTCTGGGCTGCTGTAGGGAGACCCTGGAGAGGGAGGTAGTCCTGCCAGTGGGCTGGACCCCAACTGCAGAGCTGAAGGGCTCTGAGAAAGTAAAGGAAGTTCCTTTGGGCAGGGCTGGCCACTCCCAAGTCCATCATTCATTCAGTGAGCAAATGCTGACCGAGCATCCATCCACTCACTGGGTGCAGGCACTGGTCCAGATGGGGAACCGTCTGACAAACACTCGGGCCCTGCGGAGCTGGCCGCTTAGTGGGGAGAGGCAATGATAAAGACAGCAGATGCAGCAAGTCGGATGCCAGAGCGTGGTCGGTTCTGTGGGCTAGGAAGCCAGGGAGGAGGGGGAGGGTGCTGGTGCACGGTGGCGCCCCTCCCACCCCCAGGCCGGCTGTACTTTCAGGTAAGTGGTTAGGACGGGGCTCACTGAGAAAGCAGCGCTGGGCAACAACCTGGGGGAGGGGAGAGAGGAGCAATCCAGGGCGAGGGGATAGCAAGTCCCTGCAATGCCCCCTCAAAGCAAAGGCCTGGAGGTCAGATCAGGGTCAAGATGCTGTGACGGGTCAAGATCCCCAAGAAGGCCAGCATGCTAGAGCGCAGGGGAGGTGGGGAGAGGGCATAATGAGGTCAGAAGTGATGAAGCCAATATCATCTGGAAGGACTTTGTCTATTATTCCATATGAAACAGGGGACGACCGGAGGGTTCTGGACAAAACAGTGACATTTAAAAAGGCAGAATCAGAAACCAATGAGCTTATAGGAACTGTCTCCAGGAGAGCCCAAGGTGCCTTGGTCCAGAGGGCAGGAGAAGAGGTGGGAAGAGGCAGGGGCTGCTGATGTTCCGAAGGTGGGACTGACGGGAACCTGGATGCGGGGGAGAGAAGGGGCGGAGCCAAGGGTGTCTCCAGGGCATCTGAGCAAGGGGCAAACAGTCCCTGGAACACTGTGCAGAAGCTTATAGGAGACTGGGTCATTTTGTGGTTTCTTCCTGTTCTGAATGCAAAAATCTTCTCGTTTTTTGCTGACAGACAGGCCGGGGCCTTGTCAAATGCTCGGAGAACTCTCAGGGGCGGAGCTGGAGACCCAGGTCATAATCTAGCTCTGCAAAGGAGATGACTGACTCTGGGGAGCCCAGCTGCTACAAAGGGAGGAGTCTGGACAAAAGAATCTCCATGAGCCTTGAAGTGGTCACCATGGTCAATAAGAGGACCGTGTGCAGAAAGTGACCCCAACCTATACCTGGCCAAGCTACAGAGGGAGCCAACTTCTTGGGAAGGAAGAACAAGAGCATCAGGTAGTGCCTAGGTCTGCTGGTGACACAGAGCCACGTGGTGGACCCTGGGAAAAGGGCACTGGGCATGCAAAGCAGGGTTAGCAGGGAACAGCAAGTTGAACAAATGCCATTCGGTCGTCTGTGGTGTAGCAAGTGTCCGGGGGCGAATGGTCAGATGGCAGAGGAGTGAATATATGCTCCCCTGGGGATGGGGAGGCCAAGCCTTGAGGCCTGGCCTGTCCCAACAGGACATTCCTTACAGTATTGCTGCCTGAGGATGAACCAATGTCAACTCCTCCAGGAGGGCCATCTGGGAGGGCAGGGCTCACCGGCCACGGTGCAGTGGGTCCAGAAAGTTCCTGACCCACAAGGTTGATTTTATTGTTCCTTCCACTGTGAAAATTTCAGATCTGGAGCCACCCTTCTATAAGTCTTTCCTTCTCTCCCCATGCCCCCCACAACTCACACAGGCTAAGGCGAGAAGCCAGGAAATAAATATGCCCCAAAGGAAAATCACTGGAAGAACAGGAAAGAGCAAGACGGAGCCATCCTGGAGCGGCAGGCTGGGCGGAGCTCTCCATTAGCTGCGCATCACACATTCCTGCTCCCAGGCCTCTCCCAAGCCTCCATCCACAGCGTGGGCTTCCGCTTGGTAGCGCTGGAGGGAAAAGGGGGCCCCAAGCCCCAGGGACAGTGTGGTATCTGCTGAGTGGCCCCAGAGCATGCCGAGCGCAGGAGGATGGCTGCCTTCTAACCCTGGAGGGGCACGGGCATCCGTCCAGCCCCCTTCACCTTCCTCATCCCCAAACTCCTCAACCACAGCTCCGCAGAGAGTGTGGGAGAGAGGCCCCCTTTCTGCCCTGACCTGGACTTGACTCAGTGTATCTTGGAAGAAAGAAAGAAGAGGAGTCTGGATGCTCCCACCCAGAGGCGGCCCGGTAATTGCAGGTTTTTATAACACTCCGGGAAGGGACAGTGGCTGCCGTGGAGAAGCCAGGGAAAATGCTTCGTGGCAACCATTCCCAGGAACAAGGCCATCCCAACCACCAGACCACCCTGGTGTGCCCTTTCCAACTCTTCCACTTCCCACGACATCCGGGATCACAACCAGCCCGGCCCTCTCCTGTTCTTCCCTCCACAAACATTTGTGGAGTGTTTACCAGCTCCGCCCTGTATCGAGGGGCCAGAACTCCCGGGCAGGACCTACCCTCCCCACCAGACCTCAGTCCCCGGATGTCTCCGACTCTGATCGTGATCTATGTTGATTAGGAAAACTTCATCATTATCAAGCATTCTGCAGACTTCAGCATGACAGGTAAGCACTGGGCCTGAGACCCACGACAAGAATTCGAGCCCGCGGACAGTGGACACAGAGAATCCGTCCAGGTTCCCTGGCCTCAACTCCCAACCTCCGACTTCCTCCCACTATCCACTTGCAGCTTCTGGTCTCTTTTCTCTCAACCCCAATAGGAACTGCCTGCCCCCCCACCCTAATGCCATAGGCCTTCCAGCCTTGGCCCTTGCTGTCCCTCTAGTGACAAGCATCCTTCACGTGCCCGTGTGTCCAAATGCCAGGTGTCAACAGACAGACGCAGCCTGGGGAACCAGCTCCAGCTCTCTGCTGGCTTTTCAAGCACCCTGCAGAGACTCACCTCCCTGCCTCTTCTCACTCCACAGCTCCTCGGGGTGTCCTCCCAAGTCAGGCAGGCCTGCCCACGGTTCCTGAACAGAAGGCCTGCAGGTGCCCCCTCTGGAGCTTTGCCTGTGCCCATTCTATGACCAGAAATCCTCTTCCCCTGCCCCCTGCCCAGCCTGTGGAAGGGGCAGACCAAGCCTAGGAAGGCTTGGTCACGCTAAACCCTTTCTCTGAAGTCCAGGGCCTTGTGGCATTTATTATACTACAACACACGCACGCACGCACACGCACACACACACAGTTGTGCACATACACATACACTGCCCACACATGCATGGAGACATACACAGACACACAATAATGCACACACACCTGTGTACACAAACTCGTGGCAACCATGCACACACTAACTTGCCTATAACACATAATAAGCACACACACACACACACACACACGCACGTACACACCAGCAAACACACAACACTATTGTTAAGTGTGGATTTTTCAAGACATCTTCATTTCCTCTCTCTGACAAGACTGTCGGCTCCTCAAATACCTGGCCCAGGCCCAGGCCTGCGAGAAGCACTTACTGATATCACACAGCCACCTTCTCCATCCCCCGCTCACCCATCTGCACGGGGCCGGTGAAGGGCATGGCTCCCCGCTCCTTGGGGATCACTGTGGGACGAGACCAACACGGCAAAGTGCGTCAGCCTCTGAAAGCCAGTTTTCCTCTCTCCCCCAGAATGCTGCGCTGGTGACAAACAGGCTGCAGGCGCACCCCAGTGCATCCTGGGATTCAAATAATTTTAACGTGGTTGGACATCCTCTGTACACACCACGCTGGGGGGGGCCCTGGCCTATTTCTGGTGGGCGGTCATGGTCGGGAGGTGCAGCCCCGGAGGGTCTCCCCACTCTCTGTCTCTGGGGGTACAGGAGGGGCCCTGAGGCCTCTCTTCCAGTCAGCCTGGCCTTGTCCCTGCTGGCCGCTCCCTTCTTGGCCCAGACCCTGGGCTCACAGGGGAGGCCTTCAAAGTAGAAGGACCCCCCATACTTAGTGGCTTTGCCACATGGCTCCCCTGGGGACTTTTCTTTGACTTCAGATGGCCATCCACTTCCATGAGACTGGAGACCTGCTCAATGCACAGAGGACTCTCAGGGTGGGTCGTGAGGCCATTATCCTGGCTGAGACCCAGCCTGGGGGACTCAGAGAAGGGCTGCAGTTGGTTCCGATCGCCAGGGGCAGTTAGAAGCCAGCACTCCGCGACAGTCTGGGGGCCTGCTGGGCCAGGCAGAGCCTGGAAGAGACCAGGCAATCTTCTTCCACAGTGCGGCCAGCTCTGCTCTGACCAAGGGAAAATCCGGCAGATCTGTGAGACCTTCCTTCATCTTCAGGATCCAAGGCGCTCGAGGCGGAATGCGCCTGCCTGGCCCCTGCACACCTGCTGAACACCACCAGGATCAACTCACTGAGGCCAGTCAGCTCACTGAGGGTCCCATTAGGGGACCAGACAGTGTGTCCCCTTACTCCTCTCCAGGGACAGAGGCTCTCTGGGGCCTGGGCATCTGCCATTGCCCTGAAAGGCCCCCTCCTAGCCCCACAGCCAACGGCTTCCCCGAGGAGCAGCGGCTGGCAATGAGGCGTTGAGTCCTCTTCAGGCACCTGGGCGGAGGTCGGCTCTGGGTTAACACACAGGGAGGCTGCAGCTCCCCAACAGGCAGGTGGGGTGCAGGCGCCATGCCAGGGGCCCACACTGGGTTTTCACCTCCCTTCTGTCCTGCCTGTCCCCACAGAGCTCCGCTTTGCCTCTCTGCCCCCTTCACCCCCTCCCTTATCGGTAACACACAAACTTCCCTAGAGTCAGCCACAGAGGTGTGTCCGGGGACAACCCCACTGTCCATGGGGTGGCTACAGTTTGGAAGGGACCACAGGGAAGGTGCAGTTTCGTCTGAACAGGCAGGTGGCACTGATGGGAAGTGCAGGGCACAGTCCCCGGGGCCCCTTGTCCTCCCTCCTTGCTCCTCCTCATCTTCCCATGTAAGGGGGTGCCTGTGACCTCTGCTGGGGTGTGGATGAGGAGACACCGAGCTGGCCCTTTCCTACCCATGTGCAAGATGGAGCCCCAAGCTGGGGGCGGGGCTGCCCTGACCCTCCAGCACAGCTGGGGAGCTGTGGAGGTTGGCCCACGAGAAGCTTATGTCCAGCAGCCCTGGGGAGGCCGGGGCTGCCGTGAGCAAGGTCCCTCTCGTGCCTGAAGGAGCTTCGGGCTGTGACCTTAGCTCTGGGCTGGGGACTTGAGAGCCCCAGCTGAAGGGTGGCTTTAGAGCACACTTCTCCAGGGGACGTTGGAGGCACAGGTGGCCTGGTGGCAGGCTCGGGAGAGTCCCATGGGGCAGGGTCCAGGCGAGTTCTGCCTCCTGCCTGTGTGGCCCTGCCGGCCCCTCCCCTCTCTTGCTCAGGTGCGCCTTCACAACCTCAGGGGAGCTGGGAGATGGGACTGCTCTCTCCTGCAGCCTCCCAAGTTCAGTTGCTGTCCCTTAGGAGCCACCGGCTACTCCCAGGAACCCTGGATCTTTAGATCTCCCCTGGTGGCCTCCACATCCAAACCCAGCCCCAGGGGACAGGCGCTCTAGGCAGACAGGCCTGGGCCTGCCTCAGAGTACACAGGAAGGAGAGGTCACCCTGTACCTTGTCTCCTCAACTCTAAGGTGGGGCAGAAACTGCATCTCCAGGGTGACAGAGGGCTCGTAATCATCCAGATCGGGGACTGGATAGTGGCAGCCTGTGGGCAAGATCCAGCCACCACTTGTTTTAGCAAATAAAGTTTTATGGGACACAGTCACTCATTTCCGTATTCTTGAGACTACTTTTATGCCACAGTGGCCAAGCAGAGTCCCTGCGACAGCGACCCCGTGGCCCACAAAGCCTAAAACATTTACTCTCTGGTCTTCTACAAAGTGGGCTGACCCCGGACCCAGGTGGGCTGCCCAGCACTCGAGGTGCTCTGCAAAGGGTGGCTTCAATGACGACTGTCATGACAGGTGGGAACAGGTGGGAACTGGTAGAGACAGCCGGGTTTCTGGTCCCAACCTGAGTAAAACTAAGGAAGTCTTCTTTTTTTGGCTTACGTAGTTAGTTTCCAAATATGATTTTGTTTTAAGAAACTCCATCCATCCACACACCCCTTCACTTACCAAAAACAAACCAAACCCATACCAGGTCCCCGGGCTGAGCTGGGTGGACACCAGGAAGACACAGCTGGAGAGGAGCTTGGATTGAGTTCTCCACGAATGAAGGGTTCGTGGAGTCCCGCTGCAGTGACAAAGGGCTGTGCGTTCCCCATAGACTCCCGGCACCTTTGCCATTCCACAGGACTTGTGCGCATCACCCATGCATAGATCTCGGCACTCGGCTCTCTGAGTGATGTCCCCACCAGGTCTGGGGAAGGCTGCCCAGCTCATGGGGTCCTGGTGAGCTGCAGAGTGGGCTTGGAGCTCCTGAGCAAGGACACCACAGTAGGCGCTCTGGATCCCCAGCAGGATAGCACTGTCACACAGCAGCTCCAGCTTGAGGGGAGCCAACGTTGCCTGAGCCCCACAGGCGCTACCCCCTGCCCCGTGGGCATGCTTTCTCCTTCTAGTGTCCCCTCTTCCTTGCTGGCCTCCAGAACCTTCTAATCTGTCCTCCTCCACTCTTCTCTCAGCTGCCCTATGGCTGGCTCTCCGGGGCCCCAGGAAGGTGTCTGCAAGGCGGGGCCATTGAACAGAACTTTCTGTGATATGGACAATATTCTCTCTCTGCCCTGTCCACTGAAGTGGCCATTAGTCACACATGGCCAGTATGACTGAGATTTAAATTTTGATAAACTTAAATCATTACAAAGAGCTATGGCATTTGCATAGGGCAGAACCACTAGAGTAAAAGGGATTATTATCACTTCATCCCAATGACTTCACTTGGGGACAAAGTCTCCTGAAGCACTTGTCCCACGGATGCCCTCAAAGTGGAGAGGAAGGGCCTTTGGACAGATCAGAAAGGGCAGATGAGAGGGAGCCCTTGTCTGTCCGTTGCCACTGTCCGGCTGTGTCGGAGCTCACAGTCTATCGTCACACCCCCAGACCATTTCTAGTCCTGAGGAGCCTCTCCCCGTCTTCAAACAGAACCTGTGACATCCAGGTTTCTATCCTCACAGGACTACCTCCCTGGGCAGGAAGACAGCTCCAGACCAATTTTTTTGGCCGGGTGAGGAGAAGGGAGTGTCCCCATGCACAGGCCAGCGTTCCAGAACCCAGTGGAAAGGAACCTGGACACCCAGGTGTCCAGAACCAGCCTCGACTCTGCGAGGACTTGGGTAAGTCACCTAGCCTTTCTGGGTCTCAGTCACGTCACTTTTACAGTGGGGACACTGGCTCTCCTTCCGCCCACATCCCAGGGTGATTGTGGAGTTCTGAGAAAGGCCGGGCAGGAGTTCTTTATTTGTGTTATTAATATCAGTATATTTTCCCACCTACCCAAGGAAGCCTTCCCCACCAAGTTCTGGAAGATTCCGGCATTTCACTATGCTTCCCAGGAAAGCCCGACCTTTGTCGTCGCTGAGGTCGTAGAGTTGAGGGAAAACTGTGCATGTGAGCGTGTGCCCTTGGAGGGTTCCCTCTTCCTGGAAGCACCCTGGGACCCGGGGGGCAGGTATGTCCCACAGCTCCGGCAGCAGCACCCTCTGGTCCCCGGATCCTCCCCAGGAAGGAAACATTCCACCTCACCTTCACGGCAGAGTGGCTGGGGGCAGGGAGGAGGGAGCACAGAACAGGGTACGGAGGGCCTTCTTGGCAAGATTGGAAGTTGAACCAGAAGAGAGGATAAACCTGAAAACTTGAACCTTTCAAAGCTACTGGTAGATTTTCCTAGAATACTAAAGGTGGAAAGGGGAAAAAAACCAGTTAAACAGGAAGGGACACTCAGCAGATAAAGGTGACCACCTGTGGTCAAGTTCCCTGGCATCTATATCCTTGCTTAGACCCTTCCTGTCCTGTAAAGGGTCAGGCTGTGTGACTAACACAATGTGGGAGAAGGAAGGGCAGGTTGGTTTTGAGACTAGGTTACAGAGACCCGGCAGTTTCCACTCTCCCGTCCCCCCTCCCACTCCCTACTCTGTTATGAGCGCCCTACAGAGAGGCCCAATTACAATCCCACCATCACCAAGGAGCAAGGCCTGTCAGCAACCACGTCAGTGAGCTTGAATGCGGACCTTTCGGTTCCATCTGAACCAACCCTTCAGACGACTCCAGTCTTGGCCAACAGCTTGACTACAGTGTTAGAACCAGAGCAACCCAGCTACATCCCTTCTGGGTTTCTGAACCTCAGAAACTGGGTGAGATAATATCTGTTATTTAAACTGCTCATTTGGGGCTTCTTTGTTACACAGCACGAGATAACCGATACAGCTTTTGGTGCCTGCAAGTCGGGTATTGCCATAGCACAGATCAAACATGGGAGTGGCTTTGGGCTTGGGCAGTGGGCAGGAAGCAGAATAATTTCAAGGTGAGTGTTAGTAAAAACCTCAAGTGCTACAAGGAGAGAGAGAGAGACACAGATTCTGAGGTCACTACTGGTGAGGGCTTTCGGGGAAGTGAGGAAGAGGTGACCGGGAACAAGAGGAAGGGGGAATTCTTGCTATGCAGCAGCAGGAAGTTTAGCAACTCTGCCTCTGGTAGTGAGATGAAAAATAGAGAATTTATCTAATGGCTTGCATGACCTCACTGTGGGGATTTCCAGCTGGTGTTGAAGGTGTCACCTGGTGAGAGGAGAGAGACAAGTTAAAAGAAGGACTGTTACCAAAAAGGAACCAGAACTTGCTAATTTTGAAGATTCCCCAGACTTCCCAGATGGTCGATGATGCTAAAATTAGGAAATGACTTCTGGGGAGAGATCAGATCCAGGAGTTCTCAAGAAAGCAGGGTCCCGGGCTGAGGCGGAGGGTGTCACTGTGAAGTCCTCTGTCAAGATCTTGGCCAGACTAGAGGCGCTGCCTCAGAGTATCACTCAGTCGGACCAAAGAGTCTAGATGGTGACAGTGTGATTCTCAGATCTTTTCAAAGAGCAGAGCTTCTAAGACGCCAAGGGTATGGATTGTCCCTGGCCCAAGGCAGGAAACGGACAGTCTTAAAAAGACTTGAGGGTGGGGTTTAATTAGTGACCTAGAATCCAAGAGGATTTACAAAAGACCTATAAAGTTTTCCAAAGAATGATATCAACTTGGGCTGGAAGGAACAGAGACCACAAAATAAAAAGAAGCTGTTGGAGCCCCCAAATTATATTGGCAGTGTCACGGTTTAGATAGGAGGTGTCCCCTAAAACTCATGCATGAGACATGCAAGAATGTTCAGGTGAGATGATTAGACTCCAAGAGCTTTAATGTGATCCGTGGGTCACTCCACCCATGTAGATTGATGGGGCCGTAACCATAGGCAGGTAGGGTGGTTGGAGGAGGCAGGTAGGGTGGTTGAAGGAGGCAGGTCGCTGGGGGTGTGCCTTTGGGGTTTATATATTGTCCCTGGTGAACGGAGCCCTCTCTCTGCTTTCTGGTGCCATGTCCTGAGCTGTTTTCCTCCACCACACCCTTCCTCCAGGATGTCCTGCCTCACCTTGGGCCCAGAGCTGTGAAGTCGGCCATGGATGGACTGAGACCCGTGAAGCCACAAGCCAAAATGAACTTTTCCTCCTCTCAGTGTCTGGTCAGGTCTTTTGGTCACAGTGAAGAAGCTGATTAAAACAGCAGGAAGCCCGTGGAGAAACGACCCAGCTGCAAACACACGCCACCTTTCCCAGAGACGACGAGGAGGCAGAACCAAGAGGCAGAGCTGTCACTGGGCCCATGACTTGGCTGCAGTCACACAAGAGACCCTAAAGGGGAGACTAAGTCCTGGGCAGGAAGGGACGGAGTGCTGAGCAAGGAACTTGCAGAGGAGCTGTGGGAGCCAGCCTTCATGATGGTCCCCAGGGGTCCCACCCACCCCTGGGTAACTTCCTCTCACATGGTACAAGGTCAGTCTGTGAGACCAGCAGAACGGGAGAAGGGACAGGATGTCATTTCTAAGATTAGGTGGTAAAAAAATCCTGCAGTTGCCATCTTGGTGTCCGTCTGTCTGTCTGCCTGCCTGTCTTCCCATCTGTTCCTCTCTTAGATCATCGTCTTGGAGAAGTTAGCTGCTGTCAGGAGCAGGCCGTGAACGTGCCCGTGAAGAGGTTCACCTCACACCTGACATCTAGTGAGGAACTGGGACCTGCCAACAACCTGGTGAGCAAGCTGAGGAGCAGATTGTCCCTGCGGGAGTCTTCTCCAATCTCAGTTGAGCTTCCAGATAGTGACGTCTCTCAGTGACAGCTTGACGACAGTCTCAGGGGAGACCCTGAACCAGAACCATCCAGTTAAGCTGCTCCTGGATTTCTGACTCTTGAAAAGGGGTGAGATAATGAATGTTTGTTGTTTAAAGCTCTAAGTTTTGGGGTAACTTGTTATGCAGCCACAGATAACCAATACAAACACTCAGGCCAAGCCCCATTTCCAGCAAACTATCACTGGCAACGATAACTGGCAGAGTCCCTAGAGGGGACACACACACACACACACACACACACACACACACACACACCCAGACACGTTCATGCACGACTACAAACATGTGTATAATACCAACAAAACCCTGGCACAGAGTCCTCGTGTTTGTGGAGACCTGGGTGCTGCAGGCTGCTTCCCCAGCCACATCTCATTTGATCTGCAGAGCACAGATACAAGGTAGATGTGAGCTTTTATAGATAAGACACATGCCTCCGAGAGGTGAAGTGGTGC